AAACTCCAAAAATGTATACCCTGGTTTTTTACTTTTTTCTTAATGGAGAACGGTTACTCTTTTATGTTTTAGTGTTCTGTGCATTTCATTATTTTTTACCTTTATTAAAAACCATGAAGAGATCTAGATCTACCAAATTCTTTTTGGTAGATGGGATGATTGTGGTGTTAGCTCTTCAGTGCTGTATTTTGTTTTTTCCGTAGGAAGTTATTCAAAACTTCAGACCTTTAGGGTGACTTTTGGTTCTAAGCTTGGAAATTAACTCTGTTATCAAGTCTGACAGTGAAAGTTATATGCATTTTTAAAATTATTTTGCTTGAGATGTCTGTGGACAACTGGCCTACTGTATGTTGTCTGTGTGGAAGCTGGCCTTTGTTGTAGCTTACAACACTAACAGTATAAGAAAGTCTTTACAGTAATGCAGAAATAAAATGGACACAGGACTCCATGATCAAGACAAACCACAAGAGGGCAGCCCTTGCTACTGGGGTCTTCAAACTGAATGATCAGTCCTTCCCTTTCTTACCAGTATTTCCAACAATAAATGAAAATTGTATTCCAGAGAAGAGCGTTGGTCAGACCAATTTCTGAGTTGGCTAAATTTGTGAAATTCAGTGGGTTTCAGTACGACGTGGGTTGTGAAGGCCGATAGATGGGGAAATAAGGGCTGCTACAGATTGAGTACTTGTGAGACTGTGAGGCCAGGTCTCTGCTGTGCAGTGTGCTGATTAAATTGCAATTGCATGGATGCACAGAGCTGTAGCATAGCACTACCTACAGTAGTCTAATACAGTGCACTTTGGGATGTTTTGGAAGCAGTAACCTGTATGTTTAGTTGCTATTTTCACTATATAGCAACGCACAATTGTTTAACACCTCTGCCATAGAGCTACAATATTCCTGGTTCAAATGTCAGTGACTGTGTGGGTAAGAGCGTTTCTCCACCTGAAAAGTGGGGTGTCTGGCTGTGGGCTCCTGGTGTGAGTTCTAGTGAAGATCAAAGGTTAAAGGCTGGTGCTGATGTGACTGTCGCAGTTCTGCTCGTGCCTTTGCCATTCCGCCATGCCGGTTCGTCCTGCAACACCTGGGCATGAACCTGGGTCTCCGGCGTCACGCAACAGGGAATCAGCCCGGCTGAGCTAAAGGAGACTTCCCCCAGCCCAGGCGGCTGAGGTCCCTGTTATGCGCAGGGAGGGCGATGCAACCAGCTCCGCTACACTGACAGCAGTGTGTCTTCTCAGGGTGCTGTCTGGACTCACTGACCTGATCCTCGCTCGAGTCCACAGCCATGCCACGATTGAGGAGCTGGCCAGGGAGGCTGCTGTTCCTGTTATCAATGGGCTGTCAGACCTGTGTCACCCCCTCCAGATACTGGCAGACTTTCTCACTCTGCAGGTAGGTCAGCACTGCATATACTGTACACAGCGTCCAGCGCTCCCTAACAGTGTCGAAATGAGAAC